GTAGCCAAAGTCAGGCACCCCCAGCACCTCCCACAACCAAATCCCCCTCCCCCTCCCACAGAGCCAACAGAGCCATAGGAACTGGAATGGGTCTGGCAAATTAATTTTACTTTTAAAAGAGGCTGCTCCTGCCGGCTACCTTGGCTCAGTGCATTCTGGGCAGCAGCATGTGGCCCAGCTGCCCACTCACTGATCTAGCATCAGGTGAGCCCGTGCAACATGCACTCACTCTCCTGGCCTGGCACCCCCCCTAGCATGGTGCCTGGGGGGAATTGCCCCCACCATGTCTCTGCTCATAAGGACATCTTTCCAGGTCAGGATGGATGGAGATTTCCTATCTCCTAGAGCTGGATGAGACCTTGAAAGGTCATTGAGTCCCATCCGCTGCCTCCATAGCAGGACCAAGTACCATCCCTGATAAATTTTTGCCCCAAATGGCCTCTGCAAGGATTGAACTCACACTCCTGGGTTTAGCAGGCCAATGTTCAAACCGCTGAGCTATCCCGCTGCGCAATGAGGAAGGCCCAGTGGTTTCATGGCAAACTGCTAGCAGGGAGACCAGCTCTATGTATGAGTGTTCATAAATGCCTGAAGTTCTCTTTAATTAAATTGTTCTTGATTCTCCAACACCATACTTTCCTCCCTTGCATCCCCAGTAACTCCTTCCCTAGATGGAGAAGCACACCAGAGGCATCTTCATATCTGTTTTTTTTAAACTCCTGAGTAGGAAATAAAGACGTGTAAAACTGGAAATCTTAGCAACTGTTATGAGTTTAACTGCTGCTCAAAAGAAAATTAAACATGTGCCACAGCTCAAAACAAAGCAGGTCAGCTCAGGAACTTACAGTTTAGGTGAAGGGACAGTGGTCAGTCTTGTGAGGCAGGCATGTGTATAATTAATTAAGCAAATGCAGGATGGAGACAGACATAGCCTGGAAACATGGTATAGCCATGGAAAAAGCCAAAGAAAGGTTTTGGGTTGGGGCTCGTGGCCAAAGAAAAGCTTGTTTCTGTAGGAGAGGCCACTGTGTTCCATTGTCGTTTCCTCCTTTGTCCAGGAAACAGGACTCTGTATATTCTATATATAGAAACAGGATAGCAGCAAAGAAATACCTGCTTCTCCATTACCAGTTTCTCTTCCTAGTGGGAACAAACCACAGAGACTTGAATTTTGATTAGCTGCTTGGGTCAAAAGTGGGAACGTACCCAGAATAGCATCACTACTTCACTGTGAAGTCCTGAACTCTGGGGAATAACTTCTTCCTCCTCTAAGTTCGGCAAAGATATCGAACAGATACTCCCACGCTTGTAGAAAGTGCCATGCAATCTTCAAAAGCCATGAATGGTGAGGGCTTGTTTTTCTTTTTACTCAAAAAGTGCCACCTCTACCAGTGAAACATCTGGTTGATGTATCGTTGACTCAAAAGAGTCTGACTCACTAACATAACTTACAGTAAACACTTAGGTTTTCATTGAAGCTGTCCCGTCCATGTACTGAGCAAATTTCATGCCTGGCTTCTTGGAGCGAAGACTAGCTAAGCTTTTTGTGATATAGCTGAAAACTTGCTTTCCCCCTTGTTGAGGATTTCCACTATGCTTTGCAATGATCAATGTAAAATCAAATCTGCATGGCTCTAAGGAGCTTACATTGTATTTACTTTAAATAAAACATGAATCTGCTTCCACCACCAGGCTTCCCTAAAGTACCAAAGACACAAGCTGAGCAGGAACATCTTTTGGGAGGAATGAACAGGGAATGTTCCTGAGAAAGTTGCCACAGTACCCAAAGTGCAAATGACAGACAGGTTGGTTGGATTTCTCTCCAGCAGACGGAAGGAGTTTGTTAACCAAGTCTGGCAAAGGAGCAGAGTTCATGAAGCCCCACTATTGTGGCCTGAAAAAAGGATCCTTTGTGGAACTAGATTTGTCCATGACATGACTGCAAGAGTTAGTTGAGGATAATTCTTAGAGCAAGGGACTGAAATAGCTAATGTAACTATATACACAAACTACTTTATCTTTAGAATTTTTTAAAGCAGAGAAGCATCAATATTCACAGAGTTTCTGCTCTGTAATATTGTAACCACTCTGATCAAGCATCAAAGGTTTTGGGGAATGATCCTTGCCACGGGAAGGCATCAAGAGACCTCAGTTCAAACTGTTTTCTTCCATCAGTGTTGGTTCAGTTGGCGTAAATACCACCTGGCTCTGTTTCACGTAGTCTTGAGAAATAAGCAGTGCCTGTTGCTCCACTTTCCCTGGCCTGTTCAGTTTTCCTTCTTCGTGAGGAGGTGTAGTCCTCAGAGGTAGATTTGGTGCCAGACTCCGCATAGCTTTCTGACTGAATTCCATGCTGGTGTAATCACTCAGGAGAGGTGCCCTCATGCTAGAACTGACTTTTTCTTTTTCAGTTGCTTTTTCAGAGATTTTCAAACAACTGGGACAGGTGTCCGGGTTGCCACCAACCCTTTCAGACTGGCCTGCACCACACTCCGTGTTGTCTTCTCTCTCCTCAGTGAAGGGTTGAAGCTCCAAAGAAGTGTTGGAATCCTGCTCTATCACATGAAGGCTGGTAGTATCATTGTCTATTTGCAGTTGAAGCAATGGCCTTGAAATGAATCCCTGGATATCCTACAAAACCAGATAAAATGGAAAGAAAAAAATCATTGCTTGTTTCTACACATAGGCTGTGTCTACATTGGCACCCTTTTCCGGAAAAGGGATGCTAATGAGACCAGTAGGAATTGCAAATGCCCCGAGGATTTAAATTTTCCCCGCGGCATTTGCAATTCCTACTGGTCTCATTAGCATCCCTTTTCCGGAAAAGGGATGCTAATGAGACCAGTAGGAATTGCAAATGCCCCGAGGATTTAAATTTTCCCCGCGGCATTTGCAATTCCTACTGGTCTCATTAGCATCCCTTTTCCGGAAAAGGGATGCTAATGAGACCAGTAGGAATTGCAAATGCCCCGAGGATTTAAATTTTCCCCGCGGCATTTGCAATTCCTACTGGTCTCATTAGCATCCCTTTTCCGGAAAAGGGTGCCAATGTAGACACAGCCACAGTGTTAACTTATGATATGGAAATAAATAAATCACTCATACTAACCAACAGAAAAAGTCAGGAACTGGGCAGACAGGCTGCAGCTATTAATTTCTTGTTTAATCTACCTGGCCAAGCTATTTCTTCTACCCTTTAAATTCCATTTACAATGTACTAACTTTATTAAGGAAATAAAGATTTCTGGAAAAGAAGACCATAGTCTCCATCCCTTCATTGTTAAAGTGATACAGTGTAGACTGCAGGATGTTCCGTGCAGAGCTCTGTCACTACTGATATGCGTGATTCACATGGTGATAGCAACATTAAACAGGGTGAATTGAACAGTGTTATTTTGCCTAACTGCCTTTTTATTAGCAAGATGCCTTTGAAGTGAGTTCTATTCACTTCAGTCTCACTTTGGTCTAGGTAAAGATTGTCTAGAAATCTTTTGTATATTTTGACTGGCTAAATTGCAGAGCAGTGTATGATGTCAAGTCAGGTACTACTTGTTTAGAAATGGGCATGTCCTGTTAGAGCCATACAAGCTATCACAAAATACACACAGAATGGAATGGCTTTTTATGGTCCATAAATAGTATCATCTCTCTCTGGTTATACTGCTTTGGTTTTTTAAATTAGCTATCTTAAATTACAGACTGGCTGTCATGTTCTCTGACGCACCAGTAACTGCTTCTGTCTTCACTTATTTTAAGTTTAGTAGGTGCATTAGAGCATTGAAAACCTAAGAAATTATCAAGACTTTATTGTATTTCATTCATTCTTTCTGATTCCAGTTCTTGAGCTGAAGAATGATCGCTACTTTGTACCAATCACCCAGCCAAGACATGAATGCTCATCTTCAGCAGGCACTTCAGCACATTCAGAATTGGCCCTGTTTTGAATAATGACCTGAACACTGTGTACATAGGACCCACCAAAGCAACAAGATTTCTGCATCTCTGAAAACTGAGATTGCGTATCCAGGCACTGATGACACTTCATGGTTTGCAGAATAGTCTGACTGACAATGGGATAAACAGATATAATACTATACCTAATGAGTAAATTTTCCCAGATTCCTAACAGGAAGATGCATTAACATATGAAGCAGAAGTATAGCACTGTAATGGAATTTTGTAACTAATAAGTCAATTGTAATACATGTATGTTATAGCAAAAGGATTGGATTAAACTTAAATACAAGATGTAGGCCTCACAGAGGGCCAGGCAGCTTTAACTTAGCTCCAGCTCTGTTTGATGTTAGCATGTTAAAGTGAAGGGCTGGACTATTGTAATACATAGTGATGTTAGTGTTAGACAAGGCCTAGTAGTAGAAAGAAAGAAGTTTAATGTTGAAAGACTTTGTAGCTTTGTTAAAGTGACTTAGAAGTACCCCTGTGTTCCGTGCTGCAATTCTGGAAATGTTTTGTTTGTGTGAATGAGAGAGAGGATGTTTTAGGAGAGGTAAGTGTGAAGGCCACTGCATGCTCAAATGGTCAGAGGAGGAGCTGAGGACTCAGAAGCTCCAAATAATTATCAACTAAGTGAAAGAACTCAGAAGATGCAGACTATCCGGGTAGATTGATGAACCCTGAAGCTAGAGGCAAGCGCCCCTTGATAGGAAACCAATCACAACTTTCGCCAGAAAGACAAGAACACCTCCCCCCACGCCTCCACCCTCGACGGTTCATTAGCACACTGATATCAGATGACTGAACAACTTCCCAATAAGCACATTGTAGAAAGATTGATTATGATGCTGAATGACTGAGTAAGGCCTATTTATCCTTACTAGACCGGCTAAATAGACCCTTGGGAGATCAAGCTCCACAGTGCTGATCTCTCCCGCAAGTGTAGATAAGGACTCTGGAGTGATACAAGGAAATGTTCTTTAAAAAAAAAAAAACAACAACCCACCATGCATAGTTAATCTATGGAACTCCTTGCTACAAAATACCATTGAGTTTGAGTCTACCAAGATTTTCAAAAGGATTAGATATTCTATGGATCCCCATCTAACATCATTTTTGTAACCTTACAAAATAAGGGGTATTAAATTGGGTATAAGCCATCTTTTTTTTAAAGCAGTCTGAGATTGGGAACAAGAACTTTCCTATATTTAAGTTGCCCTATAATTGTCCATGAAAGTGATTCTGGCACCTTGCTCTGAAGAATCTGGTCTAGGCACTATTGGATTGCATGGATTACTGGTTTGATCAGTTATAGAAGTTCATGTATTCCTAATCTTTGCATGGTCTAGGTCCATGAGGTATTTACTACTGCTACAGATATTAGAAAGTACAGTGCTTTAATACAATAAATCCTAGAATTTTTCTTAGATTGTGAAATCTTGGCATTCTATCAAGGTTTACAGTGGAAATTTGTAGCAGATACTTTTAATCCTATGCTTGATCTCCTTTATTTTTTTTAGGAATGTACTACTGATTTACTTGACAGTGTTCATTCTTGAATTGAAGCAATTTTGTGAGCATTTTGATTATAGTGAAGTTCCCTGAGGGACTCAGGTTCTGTTGAAAAACTTCACAATGCTCACTGGTGTATGTGGGTACATCTATCACATTTCATGAGCCTTTGCTAATGTCAAATTACCACTGGGTAAAGCCTCCAAAAGTAGCTGCCTTGTTGTGCTGCCTACTCACTCTGAGCCTCGTTTTCCCCCCAAAAGCCTTTATGCTTCATCTGTTAATCATTATTTCTACTTCTGCCATGTTATCAGCACAGTCATATTTCTTAAAGTATCTGTATAACCGACTTCATTTCTTTCCACCGCTTCCCTCTCTGCTGTGTGTATAGTAACATCATGGCCCCATACCAACTATGTATTTTTTCCCTCCAAATACCGATTTTGGAGTGGCGTTCTAGCTTATAGAATGTCTCTGTACAAGTCTTCCATTTACAATATGCAATCACAAGATTTCTCTCCTGTGTGCTGGACACTTTGGGCTTCATAAAAATGGGAAAATCTTATAATTGAGTTTTTGTCAACCTAGATCCCACTGTAGGCATACATGAGCCTTGCACACATGACCTGTTTCTTTCAGATAGCTGTGTCCATTGGAGCTACACATGTGGCCTGTATGACCTTGCATGCACATTACGTGGACCCAAAACAATTTTTTTCAGACTTGCCAGTGAACTGAAAAATTAAGTTATTGACCCAGCTCTTGTCTCTCATCAGTTTGTCTAAAATGGCTTCTTCTGGCCACAGGCCTCTTTTCCAGCAACTTGACCAAGAATACTTTAAAAACCAAACCTTTTTAAAAAGGAGTAGGAAAATCCCCTCTAAAAACCTAACATTGAATTGCTAATATTACCAGAGCTTCTGCGAGATCTTTAATTATGTACATTTACCAGGCACAATTAAAAAGCGAAGCTAGTAGTCTGTGCTGCTGTGATCAGTGAAAGGGCTCATTCATAAGCACTTTTCGTACCAGTGAAATGATTCTTGTCACATCTTGCAGCGCGCTGCTGTTTCTTGGATTTGGTACTGTTGACCAGCACAATTTTCTTGACCTGGAAAGACATGCTTTTTAACCTGAGGATCCAAATAAATTATTGAGCCTTCATTTACTTTTGTTTTCATCACAAGTCATGTACATAGTTTATCAATATTTTCATGTGCATCAGATCTGGAGGTCTAATAGCAGCTATTAAAACACACACAAAAATTGGCAATCCAAAACTATAGTCCATACTGTCACAGTAAGTTACTGAGTTTCTGATGCACAATTATTTAGTATCATAAACAAGAGCTATGAAAGCCATCAGCACTGATTCTCTTCCCATCTCTACTGCTTATCCGCTTTTCCCTAATCCAAAACTATTTCCTAGCTCCTCCACGCCCCTTTCTTTCCTTAGAGGTTTAGTTTGTCTTATCAGTAGTAAAGTATTATAGTTTTCTATTTTGAAATCTGCCTGACCCCTATGAGCAAGCACCTGCTTCTGTCCCATTATGCTACAAACCTGTGGAGGGCCTACGGGTCAGAAGGGAGGCTGCAGTATATCTTGGCATATTAGCCCACATCAGCCCTTTCTTAGGATTCAGACACAATGGAAGATCTGCCTCTCTTGACTGAAGGCTCTCACATGGTATTTAGTGAATTAGCAGTAGAGTAATAGATACATCCTCACACAGATCTGATAGAATTTGGATTTTATATTTGCATTTTCAGGGCTCAGGTACTGTTTATGCTCTGTGCTTAAATCCTATGAGGGTTAGTGTGGAAGAGAAATTGTGGTGTCTTTCTAAGGTAAAGCCAAATTCATGAGCTTCATTCAAGTTAGTTTTAGCTGTGGGCCTTCACCTCAAAGTGGTTTATAATCTCTTCTTGAACTTGGGGCCTCAGAAATAAACCTTTAAAAGCCCTTCTAAGCTATCCAGCTCTAACTCTGGCTAACTCTACAATATATGTGTTGAGACTAGGCCTTCAGGCCTACAAGAAATCAAACTGTATTTGATGGTTAAACTGAGGGGCAGGTGGGGAAAGCTGAGACTGTTTTATATAAACACAAAATCAGTATAAAATGGAAATAAATATACATGCTGCCCACAGGCTGAGCTGGACCCTTACGAGGATTAAGGCTCAAATGCACCTGTGCCACTCTTGGCTTACTTCCCCCACATGGTGGAAATGAGTGCTGAAGTGAGGTGATTATAGTAGGCTTGCTGTGGGGAGAAAAGATCAGCCTAGCAAGAGTGGATGAGGAGACTCTACTAGGAAGTGCCTAGAAGTGGATGCTCTGTGAAAAGTGAAGAGGAAGATTCCATGGAAGCAGGTCTGTGCACTATAAAAAGTGGGAAGGCAGCTAGCTAGGACTGGATGGATGTGGGAAGGGTCCTGGGAAGAATGCAGGTTAGCCTGGAACAGCCCTGGTGTTCTGGATTCCAAAGGCTGGGCATCCATAGCGGAAGTTTGATCTGGACTCTGCCTATGCTGCCACCCAGTGAGGGGTTACAAAGGCTCCTGCTGTTAAGGGAAAACAGGAGTGACTTTTTTTTGTAAAGTTGCCATGTGATGAGGTGGTGCAGTGAACTCCCTGAAAGAAGGGAGGATGAAAGGACAGACTATAGCCCAGGAAGGCCACAGCTGAGCCCAGACAAAGACTAACACTGAGAGTTTGGTATGCAGGAGAAGATGAACCCTTGAAAGATGGAACATGTGTGTGTTTGGACTTGGCTTATACTCCTGAAGGCGTGGATTTTGACTGGACCAAAAGGCCAAGGCTGAAAGAACCATCTCAAGGCAAGGGGAAACTGAGGCAAGAGACAAGCCCAGAGCCAGATTAGGTAAGTCCCTATTACAACATGTATATAAAAAAAGACATCCCTGAGTGTAATTACCCTTCTAATCCCAACTTTCATATGGGGCATCCTAGACTTGTGGGTACAGTGACCAAGACTACCTCTTGCACAGTTCTAAGCAAGAGGAGGCTCCATCCTGATTAGTTTGCAGTGCCATAATTATAATGGAGTGCCTGGAAATTATTTCCCACTGGAAATAGCAGTAAAATATGGAAACAAGGAATTTTAAACATTGTTAATGTTGACCTAACTCGGTTCCTACTGAAGTCAGTGTAAGTAGCATTAACTTGACCCGGGCACTGTTGAGAATGCCACGGTCTCAGTTCTCTCTGTATATGAAATCAGTAGAATAGCATGCTGTGGTTTCTCTAATGACTCATTTTAATATTATCAGTGCAGTGAAGTCAAGGATTGATTGTAGCACCATTGTCTGACTCTGCTCTCATGAACTTGGGGGCTGAAATCCCTGAATGAATTCAAGTGATCTATCTGCTGTCCATTAGATGCTTTTTTAGGAGATCAGTCTACCTCATGTGACTAAGTTAATTCATTTTCTTAGCCCTCCTTCCTGTGTTTCTCTCTCTCCACCCCCTTCCCACAAAAAAAAAAAAAAAAAATCCTGTCAGATATGTAGGCTTCAGGGCTCTAGAAAATGTTTTATCTTTGCTCATGCAATGGGCAAGGTTGAGCTGCTTTGCACACTATTTCCCAGTGCCCTGACGCTTGCCTACAGGAAGTCAAACTGTCACTTCTCACTACCAAGCAGTTATTCATGACCTTCAAATTCATTCTGAAAGTAGCAGTGAACCATGGAGAGGCCAGAAAAGATGAGGCATTGCTGCAAGGAGGATGGTTGTGGTAGAGCAATAGACCAGAATAAATAGTGCCATGGACCATATTTGACCTCCAGCCATAGTTTTGACATCTTGTCGGCTCTCGTCACTCAGCACCAATCAAGTTAGATCATGGCAAGAGAAGTAGTTAAAGCAGGAAAAACAGAGATGGGGCAGGATACCATTATAGTAATCTATGACAGATTTTGCATTAGTAGATTATTGGTGCATTTTCCGGTGCAAGCCAACAGTTTACTAACATGCAACCTGTCACGGTTTATGGATATTGAAGTATAGCTTTGTGACGGGGCCAACAGCCCCTGCACTGAAGGGCAGGGAGTAACCCAGACCCAGCTGGCTGAGAAGGTCCCGCCCCTCCAGCCCTGCTGGGCATGCTCCCAGCAGAGCCAGGATATAAAAGCAGAGAGAGCCCTGCAGCGAGGGAGGTGGCAGGGGGAAGGAGAAGTCCAGGCCGCGCCGGTGTTTCTGCAGCAGCTGAGACTGGAGTCGCTGCCAGTGCCCAACCCTGAAGCAGAGCCAGCAGCTGCCAACCCCAGGGAGGCAGGAGTGCACCCACAATCCCGACGGCAGCCCTAGCAAGTACTGACTGAGAGGCAAATAGACCACAGGGGAATCAGGGCATGGTAGGAAGCAGCCCAGGGCAAAGGACTAAAAGTGCGGCTCAGTGTGTATCAGCCGGATTCCCCGCCGAGTGGGCAGGAGCCATAGTCCCTACCTAAAGGGCCCTGGGCTGGGACCTGGTGGAGAGGGAGGGCCCAGGTCCCCCTACCACCCATTTTCCCTACCCTGGACAATCAACCCCTGGTCCAGGAGAGGCTTCTCTGGGGGGGGATTAGGCTGCTAGAGCAGTATTTACCCCGGTAGAGGGGCATTGACTTGGTGGCGCAGCCGAGGGGGGAAAGAGCCCCACGACAAGCTCCTTAAGTTTACATTTTATAAAAATAAAAATAAAAATGTAAAAAGGCAGTTCTCTGGGGAAACTCTTCCTATTTTAAGAGGAATAAGGGATCTTTCGGAAAAGGCTTTATTTTCCAAAAGATCTGTGTCTAGACCGGCGCTTTTTTCCGGCAAAGCTCCGAGCCGGAAAAAAGCAGCAGCCATTTTTATGCTAATGAAGCAGGGGGGATTTAAATCCCCGCTTCATTTGCAATTGCAATATGTCTAATTTGCATCCCTTTTACGGAAAAGGGATGCAGTCTAGACACAGCCCAGGTGTCTTGTTATCCCTAACTTCTTCCCTTCTCTGTTTCCTTTGCACTCATTTAACATAATAAGCATTGAGAGTACTGTAGTATGAAATCATGTGCACCAATGGGCTAGCTGGGCTTTCTAGATTATATCAATCAGTATGTGGCATTGAACAATTAATCTGTAGTCCAACTGTAATAGGAAAAGGATCACAATAATGAATTGGAAAATTATTCCTTAAGAAGTGTTACCTGTTTTTGGGATAATAGGAAGCATTACAAACTTATCCCATCAATGGCTGAGATTGTAACTGGACTGGCAGCTGCATCAAAAGACTAAAACTTTTTGGGTTCATGGCAGACACACACATTCTTGGTTTGTTACTGCTGTTCCAAAACCACAAGGATTGTGCAAATTATCCTTGTAACCTGCTTTTTTGCATCATGTCTCCTAACGAATTTTCATTTCTAATTTCAAATTAGAAAGATGAGTTGTGAAAAAATACGTCAGGACTCAACACTAGAGAATGGAAAGTCAGTAAAGTGTTCTTATGTTGTGCAGCAGCCCAATCGACATTATCCTCTTACCTTCTAATCAACAAAGAACAAATGATGGGTAGAAACAACATGGTAGCTGAAATGCCAAGACAAAGGGCAGCAACAATACCTTCAAATACCCCTTTATCTGATGGGAGATAAATAGAGATAAATATCATTTATGGGACCAGGGTTTGAGAGATTGGAAAGAGATGGAGTTCTGTTTGCAGAAAGCATAAAGCTCACAGTTTTAGCATGGAATCCCTTTGAACTTAACCACAATCAAATCAATATAAAACTAATTTCAAGTTTCACACATGACTGGATGACAAATCTAAAAATCCATCAGTTTTTCCCTGTAACTTTAACCTTGTTTCTGTAATCAGCTGATGGCCTGCTAATTTGACCTAGTTACAATAAAAAGGCATTTTTATTTACAACACAACCATGTAAGTCCTTCCAGACACTTATACCTGACCAGCTAAAGTCCTGTAGCATTAGACTTAGAAACATAAAACACTAACCAAGAGGGAAACTCTTGACCCACTGAGCCTAACTTCTCCACTTCCCCAAGAAATCCAGTCATTAAATCCCACTCAAATATATCTAGTTCATTCTTAAAATTAGGCTGTTGAGAGGCAGTTCTGGACCATCATTTTTTTTTAATGGTTTAGAAGCCTTTGTTTAAGTTCATTCTAAAACATTCATGCCAACAAAACCATTTTGTTTGCAGGGGAATGTTAGTTCCTTTCCCATTTCTAACTAGAATGAAATAAGCAATGAGGGAGGCAGCAGCCTTTCTGCTGAAGAGAGTTCATGTCGGGGGTAGGTGGGAAAGGGAGGAAAGAGTATATCATATCATATTTACCCTTCCTTCAGGTCCAAGGCAAAAAACCAGGATGATATCATCCTTTCCACCTCAGCTTCATAGGTGGTTCTACTCATGGCTAATATTGTTGTGGACTGCAGTGTTGAAATGCAACACTACAGCCCATTTTTATGGTATGGGTCAGTTCAGCACAGCACAGACACAAAAAACTTCACAGTACCATATTTCAGAGTAGTGAAAATCTGTGAATGACTCCGGGCTCCTTCTCCGGCACTGGTCACTCCTGATATCTGCACTCTATAGGCAGTTTTTTCTTTAAGTCCTTTTAAGAGGTAGCTGGTGGTAGAAGAATTGACAGCAACAGCTGCAACACAAGAGGGTGAGGGGATAGCAAAAGTACAACAGTAGAGCCAAATTCAAGCTGTACCATAGGAGTAGATGCCCACCTTTTCCAAGCCCTCAACCCAAACCAGCAGGAAACCATACTCCGCAGATGTTCTATTGGTGCCAAAGGAGAAAGTGTTTTATGGTGAGTGCTGGGATTGGGGCCAACTCACTATGCATCCTCTCTTCTTGAAATTAGTCAGGGTCCTGGAACAAGGGATCTCAGTGTTTAGCCATTTGAGGGTGGTGTGCCATAAACTTCCTTTATTGGTAATTGCCTGGGTATTTAACTCAAAACCTCCATAGCTAAAGGCATGAGCCTCTACCACTTGAGCAATCCTTAGAGGACAGTTTTAGCAGCCCTGTATACTCTCTAAGGGTATGTCTACACTACCCTCCTAGTTCGAACTAGGAGGGTAGTGTAGACATACCCCTACAGAGGCTAGAATCTGAAATTTTACTTCCTTGTCTAACGTATTCCTTGGTCATCCATCATCATCCCCGTATGTAGGTTTAAAAATATTTATTAATAACTTGGGTGGCATATCCAAACAAGCCACATGAACTCAATACTGGTGCACAACACAAAATTCATTTTGCTCATGTGAGGACTCTCTTAGGCTATGTCTACACTTGTTGTTTCTTGCGCAAGAACATCTTGCACAAGTGTTCTCATGCAAGAACACATCCACTCTTCCATGTGCGAGCTGTGCTTTCACACAAGAGCATCTATGGCAGTGTGGTCTCTCTGGGTATGTCTACACTACCCCGCTAGTTCGAACTAGCGGGGTAGTGTAGACATACCCCAACATAGGAGGGAGTGTGAAACACATTGAAAGTGAACAACAGTACTCTTGTGTTGTAGAATGCTGCCAAGCATCCAGACATGCTTGATATGGAAGTTTTAATGTTGAAGAAGTAGCCAATTTTATGAAAGCGAAAGAAACTACCATATTGCAGAGTGAGGCAAAAAGTATGAGAAATTAAGCTTATCATCCTTCCTTTTGGAAAACTCAGTATCCATCTGTCAGGCTAACTTGAATTGCAGCAACTTCAGTGGTCACTACACTTCAGTAGTTTTTCCAACTCTTTCTGCATGCAAAGGTCAAGCAACTCTGGGATTTTTTTTTCTTCGAATCTTGGAAATGAATTGCTCTTTTTGCTCTTTTTCAGAAAATTTGTCTTCTTTCAATACACAGACTGCACTAGCTATGAAAGTTAAAGATCTAAACCTCAACATGTTGTAACTTGCAGCATGGAATCTTTCCTTCTCAAGCCAAGAGCAAGATATATATCATTAGAGAATCTGTTGTAAATTTTCTGACATGAGCTCATGTAATATGAAATCAGCCCATCGTTCATTAGCTTCTAGCAATTCAATTAATCTTTCTTTGTAATTAATATAGTGACTTTAGGAACCAACTTACAACTTTATTCTTTTGGAGTGGAAAATAACAGTTCACTTATCTAATCTTTCAATACGAGCAGGAAATCATTGATATTATATTTCATGGTAATATTGATAGGGAATAGCCAGCATGGGTTTGTGAAGAACAAGTCATGCCAAACTAATCTGATAGCTTTCTTTGATAAGATAACGAGCCTTGTGGATAAGGGAGAAGCGGTGGATGTCATATACCTAGACTTTAGTAAGGCATTTGATACGGTCTCGCATGATATTCTTATTGATAAACTAGGCAAATATAACTTAGATAGGGCCACGATAAGGTGGGTGCATAATTGGCTGGATAACCGTAGTCAGAGAGTTGTTGTTAACGGTTCTAAATCCTGCTGGAAAGGGATAACAAGTGGAGTTCCTCAAGGGTCTGTTTTGGGACCCGTACTGTTCAATATCTTCATCAATGATGTAGATATTGGGATAGAGAGTACGCTTATTAAGTTTGCAGATGATACCAAACTGGGTGGGGTTGCAACTTCTTTGGAGGATAGGGACATAATTCAAAATGACCTTAGCAAGTTAGAGAAATGGTCGGAGGTAAACAGGATGAGGTTTAATAAGGAGAAATGCAGAGTGCTCCACTTAGGAAGGAACAATCAGTTCCATACATACAAGATGGGAAGCGACTGTCTAGGAAGGAGCATGGCGGAAAGGGATCTAGGGGTCATAGTGGACCACAAGTTGAATATGAGTCAACAGTGTGATGCTGTTGCCAAAAAAGCAAATATGATTCTAGGTTGTATCAACAGGTGTGTTGTAAGCAAAACTCGTGAAGTCATTCTGCCGCTCTACTCTGCACTAGTTAGGCCTCAGCTGGAGTACTGTGTCCAGTTCTGGGTGCCACATTTCAAGAAAGATGTGGAGAAATTGGAAAGGGTACAGAGAAGAGTGACAAGAATGATTAAAGGTCTAGAGAGCATGACCTATGAAGCCAGGCTTCATGAACTGGGCTTGTTTAGTTTGGAAAAAAGAAGATTAAGGGGGGACATGATAGTGGTTTTCAAATATCTAAAAGGGTGTCACAAGGAGGAAGGTGAAAATTTGTTCCTCTTGGTTTCTGAGGACAGGACAAGGAGTAATGGGCTTAAAGTGCAGCAGGGGAGGTTTAGATTGGACATTAGGAAAAAATTCCTAACTGTCAGGGTGGTCAAATATTGGAATAAATTGCCAAGGGAGGTGGTGGAATCTCCCTCTCTGGAGATATTTAAGAACAGGTTAGATTAGACATCTGTCAGGGATGATGTAGACGGAGCTTGGTCCTGCCTTGAGGGCGGGGGGCTGGACTCGATGACCTCTTGAGGTCCCTTCCAGTCCTATTATTCTATGATTCTATGATTTTTAATCTAATAAGAATCAAGTGTTATTTTTGACCTCACAGCAGAGATGTTCAGAAACAAGCTTGGCTGAGTCATAATGCAACACAGAAATAGTGTGAATTGTCACAATACCTTAACCTGAGCCTATGTCTATGCTATGGCTTTTACTGGAAGAGGCAATGCAAATGAAGCGCTGAATAGCATTTTGTCATGCTTCTTTTGCATAATCTATTTGAGCTGTGTTTGCACAAGGAGTTTTTGCACACAAAGGAAACATCCACACTGTTTGTTTTTGCGCAAAAACTCCTAGAGAAAAAATGCATTGGCAGAAAATAAGCAAATGAGATCATGACTTATGCTAATGACTCTGCAACAAACTTGTAGTGTAGACATAGCCTTAGTGTTGAACATGCTGATAGCATATCTTTCAGTGTTTAATAGAAATTGCTACTATATTTATAGCAGCTGGAGTCTTAGGCAACTTTGAAGATTTTATTAAGCTGAAAGATGGGGGAAAGGTTAGTGTTATGCAAGTGACTGAAACTTCAACAGAAATGTGGTCACTTGTAAAATTAAATTGTATTTAAATGAGGGTAATTCTGTGTACTTTCTTGAATGCTTTTCTCAGTTGAAGACTTGTTGAGTATTTCTTTCATGGCCAAAATCTATCTGAATTTTGGCCTCCTGTGGCGATGCTGACGCTTGATCTTAAAAGATGATTCCATAATAAACTGAGAGCTTACCCTGTAATCAGTTGAATTCTCTGGATAGCCTAAGCCAGCAAGAACATTAAGATAGTAGCCAATTAGCCCATCATAAGACAGGATTTTCAGATCTCTCTTCCACATCAGTCTTCTCTCCTGAGCCTCCGGTCTCTCTCTCTCTCTCTCCTCCTCCTACGTCCTCCCCTTCTCTCTCTAAGCTCTCCTCTGCCTTCTGCCTCTTTCTCCATCTCTCTTTCTCTTCTCCCCCTCCACTGTCTCTGCGCTCTGTCTCCCCCTCCTGCCTCTCACTCTTTCTGCTCTCCTCTGTCTCCGTCAGGGATGCACGCTCGTCCAGGCCCCGCCCCCTGGGCATGTATGTCACCACCCCGCTCTCCTTTGCCTTCCACGGTGGCGCTCGGCTGACTTCTGTGGGAGCCATGTGGGAGCAAGCGGCGCAAATGGCCTCTCTCTCTTCTCCTCCTATTGCCTTGCCCTCTCTCTCTCAGCTCTTGTCCGCCTCCTGCCTCTCTTTCCTTTTCTCTCTTTCTCGTCTCCCCCTCCCGCCTCTCACTCTGTGTTTCTCTTCTCCTTCTCCTGCTGTCTCTCTCACTGTCCTCTGCCTCCTCCATTCTCCTCTCTGTCTCCTCCGTGTCTTCTGTGTCTGCTCTGCTTTCCTCCTTTTGTATCCAGCACCCTTTCCTGATGTCAGAGATGCATGCTTGTCCAGGCTCCACCCCATGGCTGTTACCTCTGGGCAGCATTGTTGTCTCCCGTCGTGGCGCTCGGCTGACTTCTGTGCTGCTCAGCTGGGCCACTGCGCAGGAGTAAGTGGCTGCTTGGGGTCTATGCTCCCCATGCAGCACAGGGGTGCTGCATGTGGCCCAAATGGCTGCTTGTGCTGCTTGCTCCCATGCTGCGGCCTGGCTGGGGGGGGCAGAAGTCGGCTATGGCGCCCACGGGGGCATTTGTGTGCACCCGCCAAGTGCTCAGGGCTGGCCTGGCCCCGGGCATGTGGCGCATGCATGGTGCCGGAGCCGGCCCCGGGTGCATGGTGCACGGTGAGCGCTGGCCCCGGGAGCACCACGAATTGGCCGCCTGCACTCTGGGTGCGTGGCGCGTGGGGGTGGGGTGCTGGCTCTGGGCATGCGGCGCTTTGGGGGGGTGCTGGCCCCGTGCGTGTGGCGCTTGGGGGGGCGCCGGCCCCAGGAGCGCTGTGAAATGGCTGCTCGCACTGTCGGCGCGCGGCGCATTCGGCGCCCGCCCTGGGGGCGCCGCGAATTGGCCGCTCGTGCTCCGGGTGCGCGGCGCTTGGAGGGCATGGGGGGAGCGCCGGCCCCGGGCGCGCGGCGCTTGGAGGGGCACCAGCCCCAGGTGTGTGGCACTTGGGGGGGCCCCTGCGGCTATGGGGGGGCCCGCCCCCGGGCGCGCAAGTGTCCCCGCCCTCTGGCACCCAGCAGGCGAATGGCCACGCCCCCTCAAATGGTTGGGGACCACTGATATATATGATTCTCTAGCAATTGATCTTCAGACAGAGTCAATTCCCACTGAAATCAATGTCTTTAATCCTTACATATAATGTTAGCCACCTTTAAGTGGCTCAATATTTGTAATTTGTCCACAGTGATTTTCCACACAGAACCGTAGCAACGTTGCTTTTGTCTTATGGTAATGTGACAGTGACCTACCCAGAGAGTGATTCTTCATTATGTCTATGTAGCTGATTCTGTATTCCTGGAGGAAACCCAAATGGTCGCGTTGAGGTATATGAGTCCATTTCACAATAGCGGAATGCTTCATGACATTTGAAATTGTCACAGTAGCTGGACCTGTCCTAGGAACTTAAGCATCAGGTCATTTAAAAATAAGTAAATCCATATAGATAACTGTTTCCTGTAATGCAAGGTGTAGCATGCTAATCCTTACATAGAAATTGATCAACTTGCAGACTGGCGCGCGCGCGCGCACACACACGCACACACACACACACACAGACTGCTATATCAAAGAAGGTAGAGACATAACATCCTACCTGCTACTGATACAATTTCTAAGGATACCCTTACTCACTCTATAGTCACATTGGCATGAAAGGTTACTTAGCTAGGAAAATGCTAGTTAGTATGAGGAAGAGTATCAGAATCTGGCCACAAACCACACATGCTGCAATAAAGAACAAAATCCCTGCTCAATTGTCCTCACATCTATGTCATGTCTGTAGACCTGTCATTAGCAAGCAACATCCTGTTCACACTGTCACAGCTAGCACATCACAGCTTGGACTAGAGGCATGACTGCGTGGATATTAGTGTTTTGATATATCCCAGTACGGATGTTTATGATGGGCTCCCTTACTACTGATTTTGGAGAAATAGGAGAAGAAGTGGAAGGGAATAAATGAGGTGAGACGTGGAATGAAGATTTTTGTAGGAAATACCTCCTTGAACTGAGTAGAAGTGGGTCACTCCAAACGTCCTCTCATGTTCCACGAAACTTTCACATTCACATATGTTAGATGTATGCACCATTATTCTGTACAATTTATATGGTTGTAAATGGTCTGGAAAACAATCAAGTTGGAATCAGTGTTTGCTGCCTGGCTGCAAGTAGAAGGGGTGGTGGAGGAACGTTCTGATTTTTCTGTATAATCCCACTCCCAAGTGTACTCTAACAAATTCCAAGCCTTTGTGTACATTTGGACTCTTAACATGTTCTCCAGTTGGCTTCCCTCATACAATCTGTATATTAATTTTTTTCATAATTAAAATAACGAATATTGTGATACCACTTTGTTTGTAAAAGTATGCCAAACTGGCTTCCAGTCTACCTTTGATACACAGATG